TATGTCATGCAAATATGTATTTTCTGTGTGAGATTATGAATTTTCTATTGTGCCTATGAAATTACATTTTTGCTGTTATGAACTTTCTTATATGTGGTTATGTATTTTCTGTTAGAGATTATGAATTTTCTCGTAGGAGAGTATGAATTCTGTATTGTGAGTTGTCAATTTTATGTTCTGTAGTTATGAATTTCTATGTTGCAGTTATGAACTTTCTGTTTTGGAGTTATGAATTTTCTGTCCTGAGGTTATGAATTTTCTTTGTGAGATATTATGAATTGTATGTTACTATACTATCAATTATATGTGACTGTTATTGATGGACAATATGGAATTATGGATTTTCTCATATGAGATTATGGATTCTGATCTATATTGCAGTTATGAACTTTCTGTTCTAATGTTATGAATTTTCTGTTCTGGTATTATGAATTTTCTTTGTGAAATTATGAATTTTATGTTACTATATTACCAATTATGTGTAACTGTTTATTGAAGGACATTATATTCTTTTCGGTAGAGCATGGCTGGATTTATTCGGCACTCCCCATCCCCCCTCTACTGAAATAAGGAATATATTTCCTTCCATCAATCTATATTATATGTTGTATATGAGTTACTTGCTTTCTAACGTTTTTAATAAAAGCAATGGACACTGTCAACGAAGGACCAACACGCTCACAAACAAAGGCAGTCTTGAGCTCTCAAGCTGCAGAACCATCACAACCCTCACAGACGGCGGCTGAACACAACACTGCAGTCACCCCTACAACAAAAAGCAAAAGAAAACGAACAACACGGGCTGTACTTGACTCACAGGCTGCTCAACCATCCCAGCAGCACTCTGATGACCTGCTCGAGCAAGAAGTTATTAGAGAAAAGAGGTCAAAGCAAATAAATGACAGACATAGGGCAACACAGACATTGGAGGTGATTGTGCAGAGGGGAGTTCTACTCCCTACTTCAGCACACGGATGGGACCAAAGACCATGTTTAGGCTTGTACAACAACTACTGCCAGAACAAAAACAAGCTGTCCGTGATATTGGATTTGGAGCCCTGTTGGACCTTCAATTGTGCGCAAATGAGTCACAATTAGTTCAGTATTGATAGCCACTTTGAGGTTTTCCAAACACATTTCAAGCTGGAGAACGACAAGCTCACAGTTGATGAAGAGGACGTTGAGTACACTCTTGGCATTCCAAGAGGAGAAAAGAAGGTTGTTGAGGCCCCAAAATATGATGAACAGGGGACACCAGAATACAGGGCTCTCTTGAAAAGCTGGAGGGAACGGGTGGAATATTAAGCTTGGTTCCCCAGTCACTACCCAGATGGGAGATGTCATAGTTCAGGAGGGGAGATTCTGGAGATGACTTTAAGAGAGACTTCATGGTCTTGACTGTTTCGTGCATGATGAGGGGATTTCAGAACGCTACTGCAACAACAGAATCCTCAACTCCTTGATTAATGTTGATGAGATAAAGGAGTACAACTGGTGTGGCTACACCTACAACTCTCTGATCAAGTCCATCGAGCAGTACAGGAAGAAAAGTAATAGCTTCTTTACTGGACCAATGACATTCATATTGGTAAGCTCTAGCTCCACTTATGAATCTTATGATATTCAGATTGTAGATTATATGTGTTAGATTATGAATTTTCCTCTATGTGATTATGAATTTTTCTCTATGTGATTATGAACTTTCCTCTATGTCTCAGATTATGAATCTTCCTTTATCTGATTATGAATTTTCCTTTATGTGATTATGAGTTTTCCTATATGTGATTATGAATTTAGAGTATGTGCTTATGTATTTTATGCTATTCAGATTTTATGAGAATTATGTGTCAGATTATGAATTTTCCTTTGCCAGTTTATGAACTTTCATTACCAGTTTATGAACTTTCCTTTACCAGTTTATGAATTTTCCTCTATGTGATTATGAATTTTCCTCTATGTCTCAGATTATGAATCTTCCTTTATCTGATTATGAATCTTCCTTTATGTGATTATGAATGTTCCTTTATGTAATTATGAATTTTCCTTGTTATCATTATGAATGTTCTTATAGTATTATGCAATAATGAATCTCATAATAGAAAGTTCATAATTGCATAACATAAAATCCATAATATGATAGTTGAATATAATGTTCATATGGATTATGAATTTTCTATTATGATATTATGAATTTTCTGTAGTGTAATTATGAATTCTGTGATTATAACTTTTTTATTTTACCTTTTTGTTCAACATTGTAGCTATTCTACTTTGATCGGGTCCAATTCAAAGGAATGAGCATTCAAAGAACATATCCAAGCATTACTGCATGGACAAGTAAACTTGCACGGCAAAGGGTTTCCGCTGAGAAAAGGTCGGGCGGATATGGTAAAGGGAAAGTTATCCCTCGTATTGCAAAGCCTACTGCTGATTGTATCGCTTCTACTTCCGCCCAACCAGTCCCAACCATCTCTGTGCCGCCGTCTAGTGTTGATAGGGTCACGCGGGTTCTACAACGCCTTGCTGCTGATGTCTTGGAATTCGGTGAGGCTATGGCTGAAGTTGGCAGACAAAACGCACCGGTGGATGTTATGAAGGCCGCATTTTCTGGAATTTCCACCATGATTGGCGTTGCAAGCACAATAGAAAGACCACCAACTCCAACCTCCTCTCAACTAGACGACATCTTCTTTGGCCAAGAGTCTTTCACAAAGGCTGTTGATGCCTTGGTTGAAGCCTTCCATAAGACCAATCGGCAAATGGAGATTGACCCTCCCTCATTTGATTTAGGGATCTCTTATACCCCGGCACCATTGGTTGATGAACCACGTGAGCAAAGTGCAATGGATGAAGATGAATTGGATGCCCTTGTTGAGAACATTGTGAAAGACACTCCCGGTGCTGCTGATGCTGCTACACTCTCTACTACTCCTACCGCTATCCCTGCTACAACCCCTGCTGATACGCTTGGTGCTACAGCTGTTTCTTCCCCTGCTGCTTTCCCTGCTCCTACGCATGTTCCTACCACTGCTGCTACCCCTACTGCTTCATCTTCTGAAGCATATGCTGCTACCCTGCTACATCAAGTTCTGAAAGACGAGAAATAACTCCATTGATCAAGGTTCCATTCGCCAGAGATGTCCCTGATGCTGCTAATACTTCTACGCCTGCTGCTACACTACCTGCTACCTCGACGATATTGATAGGTAACTAATTAGAATATGAAATTGTGTTATGAACTTTCTGATATTATATTATGACTTTTCTTCTGAAATTCATTGTTACATAGATTAAAATAACATTCATAATGACAACAAGGAAAATTCATAATCACATAAAGTAACATCCATAATCAAATAACGGAAAATTCATAATCTGACACATAATTCTCATAAAATCTGAATAGCATAAAATACATAAGCACGTACTCTAAATTCATAATCACATATGGGAAAATTCATAATCACATAAAGGAAAATTCATAATCAGATAAAGGAAGATTCATAAACTGAGACATAGAGGAAACTTCATAATCACATAGAGGAAAATTCATAAACTGGTAAAGGAAAGTTCATAAACTGGTAAATGAAAGTTCATAAAATGGCAAAAGGAAAATTCATAATCTGACACATAATTCTCATAAAATCTGAATAGCATAAAATACATAAGCACATACTCTAAATTCATAATCACATATAGGAAAATTCATAATCACATAAAGGAAGATTCATAATCAGATAAAGGAAGATTCATAATCTGAGACATAGAGGAAAATTCATAATCACATAGAGGAAATTCATAAACTGGTAAGGGAAAGTTCATAAACTGGTAAATGAAAGTTCATAAACTGGCAACGGAAAAATCATAATCTGGCACATAATTCTCATAAAATCTGAATAGCATAAAATACATAAGCACATACTCTAAATTCATAATCACATATAGGAAAATTCATAATCACATAAAGGAAAATTCATAATCAGATAAAGGAAGATTCATAATCTGAGACATAGAGGAAAATTTATAATCACATAGAGGAAAATTCATAAACTGGTAAAGGAAAGTTCATAAACTGGTAAATGAAAGTTCATAAACTGGTAAATGAAAGTTCATAAACTGGCAAAGGAAAATTCATAATCTGACACATAATTCTCAACCTATATCTAAAAATCATAAAATTCATAAGTACATACTGTTAACATGATCTCAGTCTATAGCTACATCGTGGTCTACATTCTTATTAAAATGAACAAATTGTGAACCCCCGGTGCTTGGATGTACAAGATATCCATCACGAGCAATCTCTGAAATATTTTCCAAGACCAATGATTGGACAGAGCCCTTTGTAATTGAAGCAAGCTTGTTTGCAGCGCTCTTTCTTCCCCTTGCTGCATTGTACTTCTTCTCAATAACACTACTACTCCTTTTATTTCTCACACCTTTTACCCTCCGGCTTGAGGGGTCTTGGACAATACACTTGACGAAGACACAGCACCCTCCTCAGTGTTCACATCCCCAATCTCAGCTTCAATGTTTTTCCTTGCATTCTCAACGGCTTCATCACATAATTGTCTAGCAACACTGTTATCTTGGCTAGAAACAATAAGCCTTTGAAATTTCCTACTAATCTCAACAGCCCCAAATTGAAGAAGGGACACCACCATTATAAAACACAGATGCAATGTCCACGTTTGTACGCTCAACAGCCTTTTTAGTCCATCTTTTTAGAATGTATTTATCGAGAATACTGGAAACACAGTGCACATGAAGTATACGTAAGCAGTGGCAGCAAAGTATTCCCAATTCTGAAAACAGCTTGCAATACAACATATATCCAAATTGATTGCCTTAAAGGTTACTTCATGCCTTATGATATCTATGTCTGGTCGCCACAGTGATACTTGCACTTACAACCATCGTTCAACACCATTTCTTGATAACAAGAGCTACTTTCATAAATTGTTCTCGAACAAAAATATATCTCAATTGTATAAACCTCTCTAGCATGTGAAAGGAGTTTCACATGATCCAACATCATGGCGGGTACTCCTTGAGAAACCGGAATCCTCGCCATTTTCCTTACTTCTCCATTCAGATATAACACTCACAAATGATGAATAAAAATCACATAAACCAGCAGTCTTGGACAGCCTCCTAGAAATTGCATGATTTGTGCTTTCACTCCTTTGCGAAGATAAAATACCCCCGGAGAAATAATCCTTGTTGAACGCTGGACACCACTTCTCCCTACAGTCATAAAGCTTCTCTAGCCATGTATTCTTATGACAATTATATTTTGTAACCATCCTGAAAAGGTTAAAACACATGTTTATTACTCATATTCTGAAAATTCATAATCTCATATTACAAAGTTCATAATCATGTAACAGAAATACATAATGACATAACAGAAAATACATAATTGAATACTGTGAATTCATAATCTCATATTACAAAGTTCATAAATCATATAACAGAAAATACATAATGACATAACAGAAAATACATAATGACATAACAGGAAATCCAGAAATTGTATAACTGTGAATTCATAATCTCATATTAGAAAATTCATAAATCATATAACAGAAAATACATAATGACATAACAGAAAATCCATAATGACATGACAGAAAATTCAAATTATATAATGTAAATTCATAATAACATACCTTGTCCAGTAAACCTCAAATTCAGCTTCAGTCTCGGTGTATTTCAACACACAATTAAACATATCCAGAAAATCCTTATGATTCCTCAATGCCTTAATATGCTTCTTCGAATTCTCACCAATATGCCATATGCAAAGACGGTGGCGTGATGTAGGAAACACCATGGAAATGCCAGCAGCCATAGCTGAACATTGATCCGTCATGATTAGTCTGTGGACACTTGCCATCCATGGATCTTAAAAACGCTCTAAAAACCACGCAAATGACTCTATCCTCTCATTCATCAAAAAACCACAACCAAACATTACATTCATGCAATGATGGTTCATCCTACAAAAGGACCACAAATCATATCATATTTGTTAGTGCGGTATGTTGTATCATGCACTAACAGATCACCAAACACCTCATAATCCCTTCTCATTTGACATCCTCCAAAAAAAACTACACAATCTTCATCCAAATCAACTTCGAAATCAAAAAAGAAAATCAGCCTCATTAGATTGCCTCCTCCTGAATATCTCAACCAAGAATTTGAATCCGATCCATCCAACACTTCAAAACTCACAGAAGCCATTGAATTGTAAGCATCGCGGTTGGTAAAGCCAACCAATGGAGAGCCCCTGACTGATGTTTCAAAAACTCATACCATCCGCCAATGCAACACCACTACTCTTCATGTCTTTTAAATATTCAAGCTGATTGTTTCCCACTCTTCTATGCGACCGAAGCAGATGACTCTTGCCAAATGAACATAACTCGTGATTGTGCTCTTTAAGTGTTTTGTAACTGTCCACATCCCATCACCCCCACATCAAACTGAACAAATGCACCACATCAGTCCTCATATCAATCTTTGAATAAAGCTTAACACCACTGTTTTGGTTTCTGCTTATACCCAGCTTAGCACAGAAGAACCTCTTCATTCTGAATTGATTAGTAGATGCCTTATAACGTTGTTGGCCTTTCCTCACACTAAAACCAACTCTGTATGCATATCCATTATATAACTCAAAAGCTTCGTCAACATTTCTTACTACAACACCCACCAAGTCTTCATCAACTGCAATTGCAACAAAAATATAACCACACCTATACCAACTACTAAACTATGAATGTGGATTTCACCTATAATGAATGTAATATGCTACACTATAGAATTCATAATCTCATGTGAGAACATTCATAATCACAAAGAATAAAATTCATAACATCATATAAGAAAGTTCATAACAAAAACCGGATATCAATAACATTTGTGACATTATGAGCATTCAAAGTTGCATAGATACTCATGGCATTAAATGCATAACCTCATAACATAAAATTCATAACCTCATATGGAAAATTCATAATAACATAACGGAAAATTCATAACCTCAAACTGTAAATTCATAACGTGAACAGATTATTAATACCAATCACAACATTCAATTTGCATATAATCACCATGAATCAGTCCCTACACCTACAAGAAACAACATTCATGATACACCAACTAATAAAAAGAACCTGGACTTGAAGACGAGCCATCAATGTCAATGTTTAACTCTGCTTGATCATTGCTTATTGAATCACCAACACAATCTTCATTCACTGAGTATATGCAAGCAGTGTAACACACCAGTTAATATGTTATGGACATATTACTATTACATTATGAATATTCATATCACATGCATGAACAGAGTATCAAAATTCATAACTCTGTAACAGAAAATACATAATTGCATTTTGTAAAATTCATAACAGAAACATGGAACTAATACACATTTACGGCCATTATGAACATTCAAACTGCATAGATACTGAACAAATATCAATAAAAATAACTAAATCTTCAACAATCCATGATCTCATAAATCAAACGAAATCAAACGCATAAAATCAAACGCAACCTGGAATCGCAGAAATCATATCGGTTGAATCTTCTCCTCGAACCATCGTCTCCTCCATCACGAATAGGAAAGAATCGCGAATGTCGGATCACAATTGCCTTCAGCGATTTGCGAATAGGAAATAATCAAACGCAAAGAGTTGTCTGATCATAACTGCCTTCCTAACGCCGTTAATAGACAGTTTTTTTTTTTTTTTTTTTTTTAAACGACGCCAAAAACGACGTCGTTTGGAAGCGTGTTCACCAAGCATGGTGAGCACGTTTCCACGGCATAATTTGCGATCTTATGTCTGTTGGGCCATTTAGGCACCTATAAGTTGGGCCAACTCTTGAGCCAAAGGTAGAATACTAGGGGCCACCCGATCTGGTCCCATAGGGTTTGTATTCTTTTTCTTGTATTTGCAAATGACACATTATGTTTTGTATAATTAAAATTTAATGTTATATCTATTATTGTACTTAAAATTAAGGGGGTGTATTCATTCATGACTTTCATAGAGTTTTAAAAACTTTTATGAACTTTAAAAGTTTGGGGATATTCAATTCAAACTTTTAGAGAGTCTTTAAAAGTCAGGAGATATTCAATTAAGATTTTTAAAGAGTCTTTAAAAGTCGTGTGGTATTCGATTAAGACTTTTAGAGAGTCTTTAAAAGTCACGTGGTATTCAAAAAGTTATGAACTTTGTAGACTTTTTAATTTTAAGACTTTTATAGACTTTTTCTTCTCAAATATAAATAGTTAAAACCCAATCATCAACCCCCATATTTCAAAATTTTCTTTCTAACAACTTTGAATGTTTTCTCTCTCTATTTAAACTCTATTTTTTCTCCCAATTTAAACTTTATAAACCTATCTAAATTTAATAAATCTACTTTTTTCTTCATTATCCTATATTTTCCTCATCCTAAACTCTATCAATTTTTCTCTCTCCTAAACTTTACAATCTTCCTCTAAAAATTCGAAATAATATTATTTTTACTTCATTATTGCTTGTTTATATTAATTTTTATTTTTTCTATGAATTTTTTATCCCTAACTTTCTCTAAACATGAACAAAGCAAACTTTTCATTATCAAATTGTGTAGTATGTTTCATAATATTCATATAAATACTTATATATTTTTATTTTTATTCTTTTTATGTTTATATTCGTAATATATATTTTCTTTTCTTTTTTTAACAACAAGTTACTACGAATAGCGAACTACTGTTCGCAATAACAATTTGGGTTGCAAACAGTAACACCTTGTTGTTGTTCGTAGTCTCAAATTGTTATTGCAAATAACAGTTCTTTGCGTGATGGCTAGCAATATATCAAGTATATATATATATATATATATATATATATATATATATATATATTATATATATATATATATATATATATATATATATATATATATATATATATATATATATATATATATATTAATTAACATATATAAGTAATATTAACAAATAATAATGTTGAGAATGTTGATGTGGATGAAGAACTACATAATAAGAAAATTTTATGATATATTATAAATTTTT